TGCCAGACTATAAAATATGCAGGAACAAAATTTCACATTACAAAATCTTTTTGACAGACGAGTTTCAGTCGGTCCGCTAGTATTTAATACACTACTAAAGCAATAACAATTTCATGAAGAACATTTGTCTGCTTTTATACCTTTTTACGACAATATGAAACATCCATCCGTAAAACGTCGTTTTCCATACATTTCGTATATGAATAAGTATACTTCTCTCTTATATACTTACTACATTCACGCGCATGTGAGATTGCAATGGGAGTGGTTTCGATTTTCTACTGTGTTTTTCCGGTTTTCATTTGACTCCCCACTTCGGACGCACTTGATTCAGACTACTTTGCACGCGTCTGCCTTCCCTAAAAGTGCCCCAACGTTTTGGAAACATTTCCGCAGACATCTAACCTTAATACAATCGAGCATTTGTGGTGTGAACTGAAAGCTTGATTACAAAAAAGTCAATTTCCAAAAGAGAGGAATCGAAGAAAAGAAGGGCAGAAAATGGGTAATTATAGACAGTTCGTACGTCAAAAAAATTATTGCAAGTGTACTGAATTGATTGAAAGAAGTGATTTCACAGAAAGATTTTAATCAAGTACTATCACAATAATACCACGTAACAAGTGTTACTTGGTTAAGCATTAAGAGCAGTTACCAAATATTAAATCTGTCGTAATATTTTAGTTTCTTTTTTATGGTTTTATTACATTAAAATTAACATGATATTAGTTTCATTTGGTACCAACGAGTTTAATGTAGAAGAGGATTTGCGTGCAAATACCGCGCTCCTGCTTGAATTCCTGATTGCACGTCTGGCCGCCACGTTTTCTGATTGCAAAACGAAGTGTGAGTTGCTACGGATTCTTGCTTAAACGTTCACGATTCCGGCGTTTTTTTGGCGTAGTGTGTGTAGGTACGCGACATTAAAGTGCTCTCCTCTTGTTGGTCATATAATTTGCACGAATGGATGCGACAAAAGAAATGCACGCAGAACGGAGATAATTTACTTTAATTTTGCGTATCTAGCGTATAATTATATTAATATTGAAATTATTAATTATAGAATTGATTCAGTGTGTGTCAACTTGGTTTAGTCCATTTATTATTGACATATAGTAATGTAAAAACTCTGGTATACTATAAGGGTGTAGTATATAATATGAAAATGTATCAAAACAGTTGACTGGGCGGATTTTATTGAAATGTCAATTTTTTACTTTTCCGTATACATACGTATATACGGAGTAGAATTCGTAGTATATGGAAAGTTCTGTAATGCTGCGAAAAATCGATTTCGAGATTTCATCGGAAATACGAGTAAACGTTTTTGGGGTCCCCTGATACCAAAAAAAATGGATGTATTCAAAACGTCCGTCTGCCCGTCTCCTAGCGCCAAAACCATGCCCAGGATTTTTTTCCATATTTAAGACACCCCTGTCCATCTGACTCGATTCGATAATTTGAGATTTTGAAAAACAAATTTCAAAATTTTTGGGTATTTTGCATCAAGCCCTCCGTACATTTTCACATTTTTTTTAAAACGGTTCCATTTTTTCCCTTAAATTTTGTGTAGGAATAGAGTAATATACTCTTATAAAAGTGGCATAGTTCCGATTTTCACGGTTAACTCTGAATTTTCGAAAATTTCAAAAGTATGATTTTTTCGGTGTCTTCCTACAACTACAAAATTAAAGATATAGATTTTTCCGTCAAATTAAATTTGTTCTCCATTGTTATTTCCTTCATTATGGGCATGAACATTTTTTTGATTTTAGTAGTCTTTGAGCAATATTGGGGACAATAAGTACATTTTTTTTAAAAAGTACAAAATCAAGATTTTGTAAAAAACTGTTCCAAATTTTTTCTTTAAATTTTTGGTAGGTCTAAATTTACTCTATAAGAAGACATAAACGCCATATTGCTGTATTTGTTGGAGTTTTCCCTTTTTTGGGAGAGTATTTATATTAGTTATTTGTTCTCATTGTATTTATGAGTACGTATGCTTTAAATAATGTCAAATAACTTTTCTAGAAACTCAACCATTTTCTGTGAAAACTAGCTCAAACTTCCGCATTTTCAGTTACGCTCAAACGCCATTGTCTCAAAAACGACTCCAAATTTTTTCTTCAAACTTTTCGAACTAATAGTTCTAATTGCACTATTTAATATGACGTAAACTTCAATTCGCGGTATTTTTTGGATTTTTAAAATTACACTAATATAATAATTTGAAATATCTCTCAGGCCTTTAATTTGCTCAAGTCCAGCAATTTGTAAACGGTATTGCATTTGTGACTGCAAGTGCTTGAAACGACTTCATATAAAGTTTTTCGGAAACTCAATAGTTTTCTGTAAAAAGAAGTTCAAATTCCGCATTTACAGTAGCGCTTAAACGCCATTTTCTTAAACACGGCTCCAAATTTTTCAAAGAAAATTGCCATGTAGGGCGAGGGTTTTTTGTTCTTTAATATTCTTAAAATAATATTGCCGTTCAACTATTATGAAATCGAAAAATTAAGAAAATTCAAAACAATGAACTTTGGGTGGTAATAGATGGTAGCTGGCACGAGTATGTGGCAAGTCCGAGTAGGTAGCCAAGACCAAAGAAAGTAGAAAATAATACGGGAATGTCTGTGCCATTCCACATTAGCATCACTAGTCAAAGGGCCGATTTCACATTAGTACCACTAGTTTCTTTTCTCTTTAGAACAACGCCGTTTAGTTTAGAAATTCATTTTATGTTTAACAAAACAAAATGACTTTTTTATACGCTTTTTTTTTGCTTGCATTTTTCGTCAATTGCAACTTATAATTTCGTCTTTTAGTCACTTTTAATGCATTTTTGCATCACAAAACTCCAGAGTAGTCCGATATCATCGATTATATATTATGTGAGTCTTTGTGAGTCCTAGGCAATCCTGTGACACCTATTGTCAGTTTAGCCGATTTCGCAATAAAGGCAGAGATTTTCTTTTAAACAACAGGCCAAACTAAAAATTGGTAAGCTGAGTTCACTTGAACAAAAGGACGAATCGTCGATTGCATCAGTAACATACTCAACAGCTTAAGTTGGTAACCTGAAGTGTATTTGATCAGTTTTTTTTCGTCATTTTTCTTTCTTTTCAAGGCATTTTAAAATCATTTATTAATCAGTTTTGGCAGTTTATAGGTCATCAAAATCTGCCCCCAAGTTCGTTAAAATATTTATTTTAATATCGAATTTTCCCAGTCCGTGGTTTGGTCTCAAATTATTGTTAAATACATTTTCGTAGCGATATCAATTTAATTTACAGTTTTAATAATGAATATTAATCATCAAAACTGTACGAATGAATTTAAAAAAATCAAGTGTCACTCACCAAAAAAAAGAACCGTCGGAATATACCAGATCCATGATACTGTAACAAGGAAACTTGTTACAAGGAAACTTGTTACAGTATCATGGATCGGATACACTTTTTTTTCGGTGTAAGAAAATTCAAAAAATAAAAAAAATAAAAAATTGTTCTGCGAACAAGCAACCTTGAACTTAATGTTCTTTAAATTAATCTAGAATAAAATCAACATGTTTTAACTATTACGTCTCTTCTAAATGCACTTTGATCAAAAACGCGAACATTGTGATGTCGCCATCAAAAAACATGGCGATTGTCCTTTTAAAAAGCTTCCAATATGGCGGGTTCATCGCCACTTTTTAGATTTCTCTTGTTCTATCTCGTGCTTTGGAACATACTTTTCTACAGTAATAAAAACTTTGTTTGAGGCGTAAACTCCCCTATCATATGAATACAATAAGAAATTCAAGTTACAGTATGACACAACCTAGAATGTAGACCTTCAGTGTCTGACCATACGGTTTCAGCGCTCTTGGTGGACGCTCGAAAAACTAGGGGCCGCCATGTTTTTTGCGGCCAAAACACGAGAGGTCTGAAGGTGGCGCGTAGGACTGTTGTACCGAATCGACAGGTTATTTGTATCGGATTTTATTTCTATATTGTTGCATTTTGTTTGTATGTATTTAAATTATTAGCGGTTTGATTAATAATATTCACAATACATTCAGTATGGAACTGTTTAATATACAACTGTAAAAATAGAAGTCATCAAACCCCAAATATTTTTCAAGTTTACCGCCTTATTTGTGATCTGTTTGTTTGCTTCCTATTGCAATAATATTCACTTTCAGTCATGCTAATATTTTAACAACTTCCATTCTTAAGACAATAACCGATGCAGGAAGCATCATGTTTTTAAAGTTTCTCTAGTCGATATTGTGAATTTGTTTTAAATTATTGGTTTTTGGTCGTGAAACACATAGAAAGAGGATTTATATTATGTTCGGCCCGCACCCACCAGAATATTAGAATACTGTTTCTCCAGCGAGCGCTGCTTCGACTAAAAAAAAAAAAAAGACATGGCTTCAATTTGCTGCAAAATAAATCGTGTAATCATATAAGTTAAAAAGTCAATTTGTATCTGTGAAGCGCTGTTATAGGACAACTCTTCACTCGAGTTAATTTTATTTATAAATAATTCGCGAATGTCCATGTAAGGAACAAATTGTGAATAAACAGTTGATTAAAAAATGTCTGCAAAGATGGAGGCGCTTCAGCCACTCTATGTATTATCCGCACAAGTTTTCTTGAGCCCTTGTTTCGCTAGTTGCGAGAGGAGTTCGGAGAAAGGAATTTTGCATCAAATTTATAGTTCCTTTTTCGATGCAAAATAGTTTCTTTTACACGGAAGCGAACATTTCTGATTATGAGATTTCGTCTAAAACGCTCGTTGCTATCATTTGTTCTTAATTCAACTGTTGGCAAAGGAGTGGAGGTAGCTATTCCGGGGCTCAAGAAAACGAGCGCGTATAATAGTATATTCTAGCTCGTTGATGTGACCGAATATTAAAGTGAGCTACTGTAGATATATTCTACAGAAAGTGATTATTTTAATTGGTTTAGAGAACAGAATAACGATGTTTTTCTTTTCCTATCTGGTTTCAGGTTGACGAAGAGTGCGCACTGTCCCCGGGGATCACTGTCTCGTCGTTTGTGTCGTCATCTTCCATTTGCCGTCCTCGTTATGTTGCAAATGATCTTTGCTTACTTCTTCTGGTTAGCATATGGTACCATGGCCTTCATCCTAGGCCCACTACGCACATGGTCAGTCCTCCTTGCTCTTCTTCTGTGGCAACAAGCTAATTCATTGCCAAGAAAATTCTTGCAGTAAGTTAAATGGTTTGCATATTATTTGAAGAAACATAACATCTTGCAGTTCATTCTCATCAATTTTACTTTGTTTTAGTTAATGTTAAATTACTATAAAATTGGGTTTTGCATGGTTAAAATTAGTGATGTATTCAAATTAATTACTTCTCAAGCATTATAACGTAGAATAATGAAATTTCCTTCAATTTCAAAAATTGAAAATCTAACCTGAAGATAACTTCTTTTCTGATAAATGTAGTAGTGCAACGAAGGTTATGTAATGCTGCGAAAAAATCTCGAGTTGTTTACGGATTTAGTCAAGGGGGTATCCGATACCATTAACATAAAGATATTAATGATGAATTTGTCTGCGATTTATCCTCTATCAGTTGCGAGTTTGGGGTTCTTCGCAGAAATTATTTCCTCACTTGGTAACGTATCGCTCAGAGGCTGCTTGAGGGTAGTGTGCCACGACTAGCAATGAAAAGAAGGGGAAAAAAGATTTTTCACCACTGATATATGTATAAAATATTGTTTCTTTATAATAGTTCATTTGGACGACAGTTTAGTCCTTCGATGCTCTATCAATACTTTCTACAAACGCTCAGTACACAGTGATATCTGCAGGCCTCAGTCTGAACCGCTGTGCGATCTACGGATTGACTCTGTCTTTGCCCATTTAACGCTGTTTAAAGAACGAAGTGTTGGTTTGTGACCTTAAGGGCCGGTTTCACCAAACAAAGAGTAAGCGTTTACTCTGGAGTAAATCATGTTTACTCGAGAGTAACTTCTTGGAGCGTTTCACCAACACTTAACTTTACACTGCGAAAATCCGTCGGGTAAAGCACGGAGTAAATTCAGTTTTCAACGTGCGTGTACCTCCGAAGTGTTGTTACGGCTCGACGATTACGAATGATAGTATTTGAAGACGATTCCAGCAAAGATTCGGAATATTACCCACTAGTGCGAAGACAAAGGGTGCGAGAGAGAATGGATTGGTTTCAATTATGACGATCGAGATTTTGTCACGAGTCTATGTTTGACGAAATCATACATTGTAAACTGTAGAGAACTTTAGGAGAACTACATTGTAAACTGTAGATAACAAAAGGAAAAATAATAACTTCAGGGATTACAAGTACTAAGAAATATTTATTTATCTGGTAAAAACTGTATGTGACGTATGGAGGAGATCATTTGCGCACGTTTTCTTGAGTTCCAGAATACCTTTCCAACATTTAACTATAAATAGTTCAAATGTGAACACAAGTCTAAAAAATAAAACTAATAATAATAATAATAATAATAATAATAATAATAATAATAATAATAAT